CCGTTAGCAAGTGAACTTCAAAACTCTGAAGTGCAAAGCAGTTCCTCTACACATGCGGCCAGGGTATTCATGATCACTCTGATCCCAGTGTCGAGTAAGTTGAAAGCAATTTTAATACAATACAGAGGAGTGCTACTTTACGGATCAGAGACTTGGCGCGTCATAAAAAGCATCTCAAACAAACTATAGACATTCATTAACAATTATCTTTGCTCAATACTCGATATCAGATGGGCAGAGAAGATCAGCAACAGAGATCTCTGGGAGCGAACCAACCAGGAACCGATTGTGAAACAAATAGGCAGGAAGAAATGGAGATGGATTGGCCATACTCCGTGGAAACCATCAAGTGACATCATACTCTAGGCCATTGCTCGAGTGGAACCCGAAAGGGAAGTGGCGAGTTGGTCGTCAGTGAAAGGGTGAATTGGAGGAGGTCATGTGAGGAGGAGATGAAAGCGTGTGAGCAGACTTGGAGCCAGATGAAGACTCTAGCAGAGAACCGAACGCAATGGAGACGCACTGCTGAAGCCCTATCTTTCTCTAGGAATTAAAGGAAACAATAATAATAATAACAATAAACTTACTAACCTATTGGCAGTGGTAGGTTTGTTAATATCAACATGTCAAACAAGGGGAGTGATAATTAATCACGAAAATTAACACAACCATTCAAAAGGTAGAAGTATATGCAAAAACTGAACAAGTGAGTAACACAGTTCCTAATTCTAGAAAAAGAAGTAAGTGAGTAGATGAGAAATAAGTGATCGCTAGAACTGATTACGCAATAACCAACTAAAGATGTAGTAGTCTGAGTAGAAAGCGATTTAAAAGGAATTCTCTCTCCTTCCAACTATCTTACTACTCTGTCTCCTTCCTTTTTAGTATACCACAGGAATCAGGACTAAAAAGTTGAGCACACTGAATTAGGCAGAGACGATTAGTCTTGGATAAGTTTACACTTCCCTTAGTAAAAATAGAAACGCTAAAATGACTCTATATATTACTGGTTGATTGACATAAGTAGTTGAACACCATTCACATCAACCAGTAGGACTTGATAACCGGATAGAAGTGACTCAACCAACAGACGGTTTTTTCAGTTACTTGAGTTCGAGCTTATCACAGAGGTGTGTCTACTTTGGCTTACCTAGGAGAAACGAATCAGCTGAAATCAGCCGAATTCTACTTAGCTACTTGGACGGACTGACAAACAGTACACTGAATCACATTTACGATTTGCAGTTTACACAGTACGAGGTTAAACTTCACAAACATAGTCCATATCATTTGCCAGAAGTTAGAATTCAAGGAAAGGTCATTGGATCGGTTCCCAGTGGCTCAAGTGTCTACGAGCTCACCTCGTAACCAGAAGGTCCTGGGTTCGAACCCCGCATTGCGGGTGCGTACTGCCGAAGAGTCCCAAACTAGGACAGAACAGCTGTCCAGTAATCCTTGAAGGTTTTCCAGTGGTTCTCTAACTGATGCCACCTGATGATAAAATCCTCCATGCAATCAAACAAAATCCCTACAAAACCAATACATATCATTTTCATTTTTATTAGTAATCACTACTCGAAGGGATATAAAGTAGTATCCGACTACTCATGTCATTCAGTCAGTAGTATATAGGGTCATGCATTCATACGTGTTTCTAGGAGTCTTTAGAAACACAAACTCAAAGTCTCCAGATATCTTGGTGAATATATTTCATCACTCATTTATTCAGAATATGTATTATTCGTACAAAATTTTCAAGCGAAAATAGTATTCAATAGTAAATTGTATGACAATAGAGTGTTGTACTATCTGAAAAGTATTCAATCCTCTATGATATTCTTCTCTCATTTCTTTTAATGAGAATCACTCTGCATTACGTTAAACAAAAACCTAAAAATATGCTGGAGTTCATATAGGGATCGAAAACAAAACCCCAATCAGAAATGGAGAAGAGTTTATACACAATATACTTGATGAAAATTTTAGTAGCCTAGTGAATTAAACAGGTGGCCTATTATGCTCTAATATGAATCAATTCCTCATAAACTCAACTAAATTAACTCCATTATGGATAAGAGTTCATTCTGATAAATCACACAGTGTTATACAATAATATTAACTGATGACGTTTCGAGCATAATTATTATTGTTTCCTTTAATTCCTACAGGAACATAGGGCTTCAGCAGTGCGTCTCCATTGCGTTCGGTTCTCTGCTAGAGTCTTCACCTGGCTCCAAGTCTGCCCACACGCTTTCATCTCCTATTCACATGACCTCCTCCAAGTCACCCTTGCACTGACGACCAACTCGCCGCTTCCCTTTCGGGTTCCACTCGAGCAATGGCTTGTCTAGTGATGTCACTTGATGGTTTCCTCAGAGCATGGCCAATCCATCTCCATTTCTTCCTGCCTATTTGTTTCACGATCGGTTCCTGGTTGGTTCGCTCCCAGAGATCTCTGTTGCTGATCTTTTCTGGCCATCTGATCTTGAGTATTGAGCGAAGACAACTGTTAATGAAGGTCTGTTTGTTTCGAACATAAACTATTGCTCATAATCATATCAAGTTGTTAGTCTAGAGTTTGAACGATTTCTAATGGGCATAATATTAGAGCTAAGTGATTTGATAGTTCATACGTAGGGGTGTTTCTGAAATCTACTATTGGTTGTATGGAGTAACCTGGCTTATGTATTTTAATAGTACCATACATTCTACTAGGATTATTAATTTTAGGCATTAAATTAAACCATTTTGACTCACCCAGTGACGGCTTCATTCTGCGTATTAATTGCGCTGTAGATTTCTTAAGTTTATTCATTATTATATCTACAGACTTCTGAATTTCCTCATATGGACCCGTCTGAATATGTTCAGTAACTTTTTTGATATAGTCAGATTTATCCAAAACTACGGTGGCGTTTCCTTTGTTAGCTTTTGCGATGACAATGTTTTTATCCTGTTTTAGACTAATTAAAGCTAGTCTTTCCGATTTTGTTAAGTTTGATTTTGCCTTCTTTTGATTTTTCAGGGTTAATGCACATTGTGCTCGAAACCTATTCTGCTGTTGTCTTATCTATTGAACCTAGTGCTACTTCTATGTTAGGAATGACATCCTCTGGTTTTAATTTACTAACTCTTACAATATTGAAATTTAGTCCTTTCTCAAGTACTTTTATCTCACTAGAGCTTAATTCCCTTGATGAGAACAGGTTGATCACCCATTTTGTTCTGTCAACAGAGGATGAAACGTTGACGTCACTTTCATTTACTGTGTTCTTTTCTTCATCAGTTTGTTGAATATTTTTGTATTTGTGTGGTTTTTGATTTTCTTAATGCTGATTCTCTAGCTTTTGCGGATGTTTCAATAACAATTACATAATCTTTGTCATTGACCAACTTGATATGATTATGAGTGGCAATAGTTTATGCTCGAAACGTGGTCATCAGTTAATATTACTGTATAACAACACTGTGTGATTTATCAAAATAAAATCTTATCCATAATGGAGTTATGCTCTACCACAGTGCCCAAGTTTTATACTTATATCAACTAAATTACTACATTAGGCATAATACATATATAAATCAATTAAATCATGGAAAATTCCCATTGTACCATATAGAAAATCAAAACAAATGATTCAAATCCTAAAAAACGTGACTTATCAACCGTACCTAAGAAAATACTTTACATTAGCTTGGAATTCACAGGGGACTTAGCTTCCGATATCATAAAATGAAGGATATCACAGTCCCTGAAAAGAACATTCCCTGCTGCATCTCTGAGAATAAACTTTACTAGTCGACCATTATTGTTCAATAACCTGAAGGACAAGATCCCGCCGTTGACCAACTCTATGTGTGTTTATCAATTCACCTGCTCGTGTGGAGCTAGGAATATCGGTCGTTCGACACGAGTTCTGTGCAAGAGGGTGCAAGAACACTATCCTGCACGGTTACGAAAAGGTGGTAGTGGAGCAATAAGAAGCGCGATCATTGAACATCTGGTCGATAATGATCACCCTATCTCTATAGCCTCCGCCTTCAAAGTCATCTACAAGGCAAAGAGTAATTTACCCAAATCCCTACGTACCCGACTAATCTGTATTGCTGAAGCTTTGGCTATCGAAACAGAAAAGCCATATCTCTGTGTACAGAAAAAGTTCGTTCAACCCCTCCAACTTTCATGGTCTTAATCCCTCTATGCTAAAGTATGGTAATCCCCAATCATATTTTAGCTCTACCAATTCTTCATTTTTTTCATTTTTGTCTATTCAATTTGTATACTCTTCCTTATTAAGTCAATTGTTACTATTACTACTCTCACTTTTAACTGTCCCCGGTATTATTTCACTTGTTCCACTTGTCATTCTAAATCAATTCTTTTTTACAACATTAAATTCTATGCTACTAAATTTCACACAATATTACGTAACGTTTTTATTTTATTCGATTTGTCTACTAATCTTATAATTGCACACCCTTTTCAAGTTCTATCCATCCTATGAATTATTCTATATATGACATTAATTTGCTTTGCCATTTGACATTTAACTACGATTATAATCACAAACATTTAAGTTTTAATTGCATTTCATATTATTATTATTATTTTATGCATTCACACCTATGATTCAATTCCCTCACCGGATATAACGGCTTAAAAACCATATATATACGACTGTACAGCTTGATGATAAATTCGTTGAAAAGAGTCTCTTCTCTGAATCATTTGTTTTGATTTTCTATAAATCAATTAATCAATACATTGATCCAATCCCATCAATCAGTAGTGCTTAGTAGTCAGATCTAAGTGACCGTAACACTAATTGGCACATCAAGTCAGGCAGAGAACAACACACCAATAGATATCGAAAAAAAAATAATAACAACGCAAACACAACCTTAATCAACTCCATTAATTCTTATATAATTATTATAACTAATTATAATTATAATTATTAAATAACATTTTGATTAAACAATAACTTATCATTACTTACCATCCAAATCGTTTGCCAACTACACATTGCCATGTACCACCGAAACGTTTATCAAATTCTTTTTTAATATACTTAGCTATCTCTCTATCCTCGGAAAATCGTTCACATGCAGCAGCACAACAATCAACTGCTACACTTTGCATTGACTCCGGCATATCAGTTGATTTAATTCTTGCAGTTTCATTAAAATCACTAGGAGTATCCATTGTATATGATGAATAATTTTACTTTCCCAATAATCGTGCTATGTACTGATATTGTGTGTCTGAGTTTAAATATAACTATGTGAGATATAAATTTTGGTGTTATTATGATAGATAGATATTATAGTGAGTTTTAACTACTTAAAAGAGTTTTATTTCTACAAATAAATGTATATCGCGTAGGTGGATTAGTCTATAGATAGATAGACAGACAGACAGAGTATATGGTTATACATACGCACACCTGCACACGCATGCAGATACCTGTATTTGTGTATGTATGTATGTGTGTATGTCAAGCGTATGTGCATAAATATACATATATGTACACACATATATGAGTGTATAACAATATTCGTCATCTGACAACTCACCTCTTAACACACTCTTTATTTACGTGAGTAAAACATTAAGGCACAATTTGGTAAATTCGGATCTAATTTATCATCTTCCAGAAATATTATTACTTTTTAACCAATCCTACTCAAATTTTTGATAATATTGAAAATAAAAATATGAATTAAGGTTGGTAATAAAACAACAACAGTTACGTTGATTCAATATTATATTCTAATGTCTTTTTTATATAAGTAGAAATAGAAGATATGCTCAAATTAAATGCCAAATAATTTAAGCCGCTTGATTTATAGGCGTCAATTCATGATTTCTTTATGAATTAATTATCAGCGTCTCTATCAGGCTCAATCCATCTAAACATCATTCAAATAAACGTGTTTAACTATATACCTAGGAGCCTGCCTGTCTACCTGCCGACTGTGACTAGATCAACATATTTTAGCATAAATTATTGATTTCATAGAATTTGTAATTATCTGCTAAGCGCACACAAGTGCATACAGACATATATATATGTATATATATATATATATCTACCATCTTATCACGCAGGCGTTTCCAACAGGCTGCTGTTTGCCTTCATCAACAGCTGACTTCTCCGGCTCTATACTGAAAATCAGATGACTAAATAGAAAAGATTAACAACAATGGATTCTGAGGATGGATTGGACACACGCTGAGGAGGCACCGATGAGTGATGTCACACACTGAGCAGTCTTCAGAATGGGAAATGATGAATTGGGAGTAATATAGTGGAAATGAAAGCTAATGAATTAGATTATGGTTTCTTTTAGGTTGTTATTCCCTTGGGTTCCTAGTGGAACATAGGGCTTCAACTGCACGTCTCCACTTGCTTCTGTCCTCTGCTGTACTTTTCACCTGCATCCATGTTAATCCATACTGTTTCAACTACTCTCCACACATGTCACCCCTGCACGTCACACTCGCCGCTTCCCTCTCCGGTTCCACTGGAGGGCCTGACGTGCGATGTCACCCAGCGGCCTCCTCAGCGAGTGTCCAATCCATCTCCACTTCCTCCTGCATATTTGTTGGGCGATTAGTTCTTGTTTTGTTTGTTCCAATAGTTTCTTGTTGGTGATTCTTTCCCGCCATCTGATCTTCAGTATAGAGCGAAGAAGGCTGTTGATAAAGGTCTTCAACCTGTTGGAAATATTCTTTGTGACCTACCAAGTTTCTGATCCGTATAGAAGAACTGACTGACTTGACGTTTGTATTGAAAATCCGAATTTTGTTGTTGATGCGGGCTGAGTGACGAAGATTCCCAGATTGGTTTCAGGTTGATGAATGTGTTTCTCGCCTTCCCGATTCTCGATTTGACATCCTCGTCCGTTTCTCCTGTAGGTGAGACAATGCTCCCTAGATAAGTGAATGAAGTAACCTCTTTCAAATCTCTCCCGTTGATGGCGATTGGCGCTGGATGTTGCTGCTGCTGTTGTTGTTGGTTGGTTATTTTCATAACCTCCGTCTTGTGTATGTTCACCTGGAGTCCTGTGCTTGCTGCTTCTTCGACCAGTTTGTTGGTTTTCGCTTGTAAGTCTTCGATTTTGTCTGAAATCAAACATAAATCATCTGCGAAAATCGTTTCTTTTAGGGATCTGGATTAATTTCAGTGTGGATTTTGTCAAACAAGCAACATCAATCAGAGATCATTATTAACCAGGTAGCACTGAAAAGCTGTTTTATCCTATTTTGAACCACTGAGTACTTGACCAGAGAGCTTCTTCTCTTAACCTGAAGGTCCAGGACATCGATTTCTGGTAGGGTAGCGGAGATGCGATACCAAAGAGTACCGACTAGGAGGAAACAGCTACCCAGAACTCCCTGATCTCTAACTGGTGTCGATTCATGACAACATTCTTAGTACCCCGAGGGTCCCAGTCAGGCAGTCTACCTCTACGTGGCTACGTCAAACCAACTGTCAAAGACTCGATATAATGATGTCAACTTTTTATTTCACCATTTTAGGTGTTTTTCATTGCTCAACAAAGAAGGAGACTGGTTGGCATGAATGACATGTGCTAATTATCTCTTCTGTGAAGACAGAAGAAATGCGTCTGTGGCAAAGCGGTTAGAACGCTCGCCGACCATGCACACTGTCCGGGGTTTGATCCCCGGTAGACGCACGCCTTTGCGTCACTAAACCAGAAATAAAAGCTGGTAAAGAGGAAAGGTTGGGCATGAGGCTAGCAACCCCATCATGTAAAAATAAACACTGCTACAGAAACTTCAAGCCTCTGGCTTTGTCCCAAACTAGGACAAACTAGGGCTCTCCAGTACTCATTAGTCTAAAATAGTTCTCTAACTCATATCGGTTCGGCCTTCTAAGAAATATATATACCTTATGTGAGTGGAGTTTAAAGTTTACAAAGCTTGTTCTCTGAAGCTTCAGTGACAGACGCGTTCTGTGTTTTTACCGAATGGGTGTTCTAGCTTCACACCATATTAATTGAGCTTATCCCATGGCTAGGCAAGGTATCAGAGTGCATCGATGTGGAACTGAACCAGAGTGACGTGCGTGGTTGGCGAGCATTCAACCTGACTGATTGGTTTGAACGTAGAGCTTTGAACAAATGTGTAGCAGTTCGAGTTGCCACACTCCCTCCATGTAGCATACAAAGCAAGATAAGAGAGGTTCAAGAGACACAGAGATAATAAACATAAGTGCGGAGGAAGAAGAATAGTAATATGGAAGGACAATAGATTTTTATTGGGTATTATGAATAACAAAGATTGAATACATCTGCACCAGCCATTGAAAATGATTTTGAGCCGTATCACCAATTGTCTGCAGCCATTGGTTTGTACCATCCCGAGGACCCCAGCCACGAAGTCTATACCTCCCGATGTGACTGACTTAAACTTGCTGTTGTAGATTTCAATGACTGCTGAAGCCATGTTTTAGTTTGACGACCCCTAGCTGTTTTCCTGATCCAACCTATATCAGCTAACATTGCCCGTCGAGGAAGGCGATGGCTAGGCATGCGTAACACATGTCCTAACAATCTCAATCAGTGTGAGTCCACAACTTCATCGATTGATTTCCCCTCCCACCTACCTTGCACTCGGCGCCTAACCTCAATATCGCTCACTTTGTTATACCACTTAACACGGGAGATAGAACGCAGACACCTATGATCAAAGACAACTAGTCGGCTTTTTCAGTTCTTCCACTTTCAATGAACATGTCTCACAGCCAGCCATAAAGAAGGACAGAGGGAATCACTGAGCAGTACGCACGTCCTTCGGTCGACAGCCGGATTTCACGTCTACTAAGCCAGAGATGACGAAAGTTGACAGGCAAATGCCAAACGAGCCTTCTGTAACCGTGCTAAGATTTCGTTACCAATCAACCCGCTGGAACTGGCCGATGCAACTCCCCAAATAAGTGAAGTGGTCAACACAGTCCATCAACCACTCCAATCCCTATCTTTAGGCTAAGAATCAGTGAAGTCCAGTCCTGTAGCATCCTCTCACGTTTCACAGAGGGAGCGAATCGCATGCCGAACACTAGAAAACTGCTGCTCAAGGTGTTCAGAAGACTGCTCTATTCTGTCTGCGTCTTCACCCAGAAGGACTATATCATCCTCATATTCTAAGTCAACGAAATCATTCCCTGGTGGTAACAAGTCAATCCCTGAGTCGCTGAAGTTAGTCAGTTAGGGTTAATTCCATTATTACGATATCTATGACGAAATTAAACAGAAATGGGAACATTGAACCAATGACGTGCAAGTTAGCTTTATCTACTTCTAAATTTCACGACTGATAATTAATCTAATTATGAGACTCACAACCCTCCTGTATATATATTACATTATTTATTTAAACAAAATAACTGATAAGACTTAGAGATGCACCAGATTCATGATTCCTGTGAGGTTTAAGATATTGACCGGATACCTGAAAACTGGAGCAGGTGCTTGTCTTAGAGCACTACCCTCCGATCACTTTACCTAGACTTCGGTCCAAGTGGTAACACAGTCTGTCTGTTTTCGACATAGAACTTTGCACATATGTGCGGCAGTTCAAGTCGTCACACCCCATGTAGCACACAAAGCAAGAGAAGAAATGCAAAATAGAGACAGTAGACAGGGATATGAGACAGAAGGAATAGTAATAACGAAGAACAATATGGTTTCATTAGAAATTATAAGTCACAAGGAGTGGATGTATCTGCGCCAATGAACCATATCACCAATTGTTTCCAGCCATTGGTTTTTACCGTCCAGAGGTCCCCAACCAGGAAGTCTACACCTTCCTACGTGGCTTAAACTAACTGCTGTAGATTTCATTGACTGGTGCCATGTTTTGTTTTGACTACCACTAGCTGTTTTTCAACCTGATCCATCCTATATCAGCTAACATTGCCCATCGAGGAAGGCGATGGCTAGGCATACGTAGCACATGTCCTAACCATCTCAGTCGATGTAATTTCACAGCCTCGTTTATTGATTTCCCTCATTACCTAGCACTCGATGCCTAACCTCAATATTGCTCACCCTATTATACCACTTCACGCGGGAGATAGAACGCAGACACCTATGATTAGAGACAGCTAATCTTTTCATGTCTTCTGCTCTCAATGGCCAGGTCTCACAGCCATAAAGGAGGACGGAGCGGACTGTTGAGCCCTTTGGTCGATAGTCGGATATCACGTCTAGACCAGAGACAGCGTAAACTAGCATATGCGAAACTAGCCCTCTGTATTTGCGCTGGTAACACAGTAGCACTCTCATAGTTGCAGCTGCCTATAGCAGATTCGTACTCTATCAGTCCCTTTCGAAATCTGAAGCTCATGTGCACTACGAGCCTGGGGAATCAGGACTTCCCTACTATTCTAAGTGGAATTCTATATCCAGCAGTCCAGTGATAAATGCCCAATACTCGTATTCGCCCTTCTTCTACTTTTGTCAGAACACATCTCGACGCGTGAATAAGACTTATCTAGTGTAGGCTATGAATCTGTGGCCATATGTGACAGCTTTTCGACAAGAAGACCGGAGTCTACCACCTACCATCGACTAACTATCAGATGCATACGCAACATATTTTTTTCGGAGATGAAAGAAATGAAGCAGCGGACATTTTTTAACACTTACTCTTACTATTCTACTATTGACAAACATGAAATTAAAAAGTCAAATCCCTGATCTGAACACCGTGTTTAGTTTAGATTCACTTCTGTCTGTACAGCAATCACCACTGGTTGATAGGGGTATTTCTGCCTAATACTCATCGATCGATTATTCAGTAGTACATACCAACATGCAAATATCAATATGATTTGGTTAGTTAAGCCCTATTGCTCTAAATACTACCTCTACTATACATCCCATTTAATACTGTCATTCAGTAATCACCATATATATGTATTTCAATAATAAAGACATGTAGGACACAAAACACTGAAAGTAGGAAGTTGACAACAAAAATGACAAAATCACCCCGATTTATTTTTTTAAAATATTATACAACATTTAAAGCGTATTAAAATAGCGCAGTGAAGCACAGTTCTAATTAAACTACACAACCCGGTTCATGGTCTACATCAGATATTAACAATTCCAACTGGGGAGAATCGGGACCAGAACTAGGAATTGTGGCTAACAATTGTCGAAAGTCAGGAATAAATCTATCCTTGAAAAATCCCCGCTCTGTTACTGAATGTCCAGCCAATATAACAGAGATACCACGAGAAACTGCTTCAAGGCGATCATGATGTGATAATTCCCCTGTGATGAATAGATCAGCAGTTAAAGCAAGCGGTGTTTGACAAAGAAGTGATCCACCGGATCCAGCGCATACTGCAACTGCTTGAATAGGATGATCTAAGAAAAACAGAGAATAGGGAGGTGGGGGGAATTTAAAGTCGTATGAACAATCATTTTTGTGAAAAGTAAATATATAAGTGGAGAAAATATTTGGCTAAATAGAATAATGTAAACGTATTTATTATTATTATTAATATTCCTTTTCGTTCCAAGTGGAACATAGGGCTTCAATAATACATCTCAACTTTGTTCTGTCTTCTGCCATCCTCTTCAGATGCGTCCACGATTGAACAAACTCTCTCATCTCTTCCTCACACGATCTTCTCCATTTCACCCTCGAACGATCCACTCGTCGCTTCCCAACGGGATTCCACTCGAGCGTTGACCTGGCGTACGATGTCATTCGGCGGCCTCCTCAACGTATGCCCAATCCATCTTCACTTTCTCCAACATATTTGTTGAGCAGTCGGCTCTTGGTTGGTTTGTTCCCATGGTCCGCTAGTTTTCTAGCCGATCCCAAGCCCGGGTAAAGGGGGAGGGTTGGGCGTGGGGCTAGCAACCCCACACGGCTAAATCTTTCAAATCGCTAGAGAAATTTCAACACACAGAAAATATATTTCAAAAAGAAAATGTAAACGTAGTGCATTGAAATTCGCACCACAATCACTAAGAAATCTAGTCACCTTGCAAGGGAGGGTTTTCTGGACCAAGGTGTGATGATTAGGCATTTATACAGTATTTGCATAAGAAAATGAATTGGACGTACGCTGAAGATAACGGTGGATATCATGAAACGCCAGGTCCACGAGTGAAAGCTGAATGAAAAACCAGGAGTTGGGCACTTGTCAGACGGTGACATGGAGAAGATAGTGTCAGGGGGAAATCAAAGCGATATATATATATATATATATATATATAAAGATTTCATAAATCAATGCCAACTTTCAACTTGACCACCTCTAACTCCAATCTGGGTTAACCCTATGTGTCAGCTAACATTGCTCGACGAAGAAGCCGGTGGATCAGTTTCACAACCTCATCGATTCATCTTCCTTTCTTACCTAACGCGCTGTAAGCCTCGCCTTCATATTACTCACCACATAATACCACTAAATACCACAGATTATATACTCAAATCTTTAGCTTGCAAATTTATATAAGAGTAAGTAATCTTGGAGACATTGATAAATATTCTTTTGAAAATATTATAACTAGACAAGCGTAGCAGCCTTACACTTACCCTCCACACACACACGTTAAACAATACCATACATTATTGAATTTTAAAATGCTGACTTCGTCCAATCGAAGCACAAACAAATATCTGATTATTTAGTGTCAAAGACCAGTGAACATGTAGACATCCTTAACGAAAACTAAAAAAAAAACAAAAATATCTCGCGGATGCTGAATTATGATCACAACCTTAGAATAAACTACCATATTTGTCGGTACCTGGAGTTATAAAATAACCAAAGTTTGGAATTAGATTGAACGTGGTTCCCTCAGGAAAGTTATCAGTTACTGAAAGAACCACTAGCTGAGTTTTATATCACAGAAGCGGAAGAGGCAGGCGGTAAAGACAGGAACTTCAAGTAAACATAGATGAAGATAACCAACGAACCAACCAAACAACTAACAGTAACAAGCACCAATTACTATCGACGGAAGAAATTTGAAAGGGGTCACCTCCTTCAATTATCTAGGAAGCATTGTTTCAACTACATGCGGTGGCATGGATCAGGATGTCAACACCAGAATCGGAAAGACAGGACAGACATTTATGACTCTGAATTCAGTTTGGAAGCTTACTGCACTCAACATAAACAAAAAATTTCGGATGTTACGTAAGTTCTCCTATATAGGTTAAAACTTGATATAGGTGTTGCGAAAAGCATTTCCAACAGACTGCAGAATTTTATCAACTCGCTGTACTCGCTCCATACTGGAGATCAGATCGCCGGCCTAAAGCAATTAGCAAGTACTGTTTTGGAATAAAGCAAATTATTATTATTATTAAAAAACAAGGACCTCTAGCCAGCAACGAACCAATCAAGAAACTGTTGCTTCACAAACATACCGGAGAAAATGGAGATGGATCTGACACACGATAGAGAGATAGTCGGGTGGCATCACACGCCAGGCCGTCGAGTGGAACAAGAGAGGGAATTGATGAGTGGGACGTCCAAAGGTGATATGGAAGAGACAGTGTGAGAGGGAGGTGAAAGATCGTGGGAATTTGTGAAGCCAGTTGAAGAGGACTGTGGAGGATAGCATAAAATGAAGATGTCCTGTTGAGGTTCTCTATATTCCACTCGGAACCCAAGGGATCATTATTATTATTATGAGGCAAAAGGAACTGATTCGGCTCTCTAAGCAGCTGAATCACACCAGGTGCACCGTCGAGTAGCCCGGCTGTAAACGGGCTTTTTAAACTGTTTGGTGTTTAGATCTCATCGATCTGGTTATCAAGCACTGTTGACCAATGCGAGTAGTATTCAACCTTTCATCAGTAGTACATGAGGCTAGAACGACAAAAGAATTTATTCAGGAATTAGAGATATGAGGTAAGATACAGTAGAAACGAAAACCTCGGAAAAATTAGTTTATAAGTAAGGACATAGGAAATAAACACATACACCTCAAGAATATACAGATCATATAGATTATTTCAATTTAGACCATCGTATTATTTATATACAAACTTCCGGTTCAAGAAAAAAACTTTCCGCTATTTTCATTCATTTTTCCGGTGAGTGATTTCTCTGTAATATAACAAAACTTCATCAAAGGAAAATGACATAATGCATGAACACTCAAAAGGACTTGACTCACTTAAATAGCGTGGAAAATAATTCCTGCTGGCAATAAAAGCACAGGGAGTTTATACTACTTACTACTAATCAGTAACATTAATGATAACAAAGAAAGTAACACAATAAATGACTAAAATCTTCATCTACACCATTCCAAATATAGGAAAACTGTAGCCTTCTACACACAAAACAAGACATTCCACTGACACCATAACCAAAATTCAACAAAGAGTTAATACCTTCAGGATACAAATTCAGCTCCGTTTCGGCGTACTTGGTATTGCGCGACAGTATTCCGCTAGAACGACATATATTTTTATAATCACTAACCTTCTTACTTAATAGTAATAAGTAGTGTGAACCACTTGTAATGAACCAGATATATATATAAGCAAACAATATTGTTGTTTTCAATTAGATCTTGTTCAGGCTTTACTCTAATTTACACAGCTTTATATGTAAAAAAAATATAGCCAATGAAGGTGAGTTTGTGGATGAAATTATAACAATAGTAATAATAAAGTGTTAAATGTTTCGAATGTGAGTAATAACGATGATTATAATGCTAACAAAAATAATGATAATAAGGTTCATGCAGGTAGGTGTCGACAAGAATACCGAAGGTAGTAATATGTGTGTGTGTAGACAATTCAATAAATAAACTACGTCTAATCCTAAAAGTTGCGTAATACTAAGGGTCAAGTGGACGGATAATCAGAGTTTGAATAAATATAGTAAAAGTACGGAGGAAATGTGAAATAAAAAAGTAAAGGAGAATTTTAATTAGAGTTTATCTAGGCAAAGCAGAAGTAGAACAAACTTCTGTTGTTCTAAGCAAGGATCAGGTTTGTTCTCTCGAATTCCCGTAGTTTCGGCCATGTCTAAAAAGCCGGTATGAACTCCGTTCGAAAAGTTCGATGGAATGCGATAGATAACTTTGAAGGCATCCCTTCTGTCCATTCAGTGACTGCTATCAATGAAGTGAGACAAAATAGAACTTCTCATAGATCTCACTTGACCTTTTCTGAACCATGGAGGAAGATGCTCAGTAACACGTTTGCTGAGCTGTCTGGTTGTTTGACCTATACAGCCTTCTCAGGAGCAGCTAAATTTGTAAATACACATAGAATTGACACAGCTAGGCAGCTTATCTTTCACTTCATCAGTCATAATTGACCAGCTGGAAAACGACAAACAAAGAATGGCAGCATTATCAGTCCGTATTATTGCTCTAGCTAATCTTAGATGTAGGTCTTTACTAGCCACGTCGCCATTGAATTGGTTTCAGAAACATTTGTTTCTTCTTAACTGTTGTCCGCTTCTCTTCATTATACACAGTGTTCATTCGTCTCTTTATAAATCTACTAGAATAACCCATTTGGACCAACGTATTTTGGATGTATCCTAATTCATTTTCTAGGGAGTCATCTGTACAGATTCTTCTAGCTCTATTCGTGAGGCATCTGACCAAATTGATTTTGTATCGGATTGGTACAAAACTGAAGAAATGTTTATATTCTCCTACAGATGTAGGCTTTCCATTGACAACTCTCTTGAGGGAACCATCCTCTGCTCTGCTCAATCGGACATCAAGGAAGTGTAATCTACCATCATACGCCAACAAACACTAGCAAAGCAGTTCGGTATCGGAATTCCAATTATTACTCTCAAAGAGCTGCTTCTAAGAGGTACTATGAATGTACACTTCACATTCAACAACCCTTATTACAGACATGGTTTCTCCATTGGTTCAAATTTAGGCAGATTTCTTTCCTGCTAAGCCTGAAAATGGTTCATTGGAACAAGTAATAGATAAAATGGATTTCTATTTTCGCTACATTGCTTATACGTTTATTACTCTTGATGAGAAAGCTGACAAGAATGAAATGTTAACACAATTTAATGATGCACATGCATCGCTCATCTCCACTTGTGAAGAAGAGTATGATGGCAGATAACACTTCCTTGATGTCCGATTGAGCAGAGCAGAGGATGGTTCCCTCAAGAGAGTTGTCAATGGAAAGCCTACATCTGTAGGAGAATATAAACATTCCTTCAGTTTTGTATCAATCCGATACAAAATCAATTTGATCGGATGCCTCACGAATAGAGCTAGAAGAAGCTGTACAGATGACTCCCTAGAAAATGAATTAGGATACATCCAAAATACGTTGGTCCAAATGGGTTATCCTAGTAGATTTATAAGGAGATAAATGAACACTGTGTATAATGAAGAGAAGCTGACAACAGTTAATCAGAATCACAATTGTTTTGAAACCAATTCAACGGGGACGTGGCTAGTAAAGTCCTACATCTAAGATTAGCTAGAGCAATAATACGGATTGATACTGCTGCCACCCTTTGTTTGTCGTTTGCCAACAGGCCAATTATGACTGGTCAAGTGAAAGACAAGCTGCCTAGCTGTGTCAATTCCATGTGTATATACAAATTTAGTTGCTCCTGAGGAGAAAGCTATATAGGTCAAACAACCAGACAGCTCAGCAAACGTGTTACTGAGCATCTTCCTCCATGGTTCAGAAAAGGTCAAGTGAGATCTATGAGAAGTTCTATTTTGTCTCACTTCATTGATAGCAGTCACTGAATGGACAGAAGGAGTGCCTTCAAAGTTATCTATCGCATTCCATCGAACTTTTCGAACGGAGTTCATACCGGCTTTTTAGACATGGCCGAAACTACGGGAATTCGAGAGAACAATCCTGATCCTTGCTTAGAACAACAGAAGTTTGTTCTACTTCTGCTTTGCATAGGTAAACTCTAATTAAAATTCTCCTATACTTTTTTATTTCCCATTTCCTCCGTACTTTTACTATATTTATTCAAACTCTGATTATCTGCCCACTTCACTCTTAGTATTACGTAACTTTTAAGATTAGATGTAGTTTATTTATCGAATTGTCTACACACACAGACATTTTACTACCCTCCCTATTTTTCTCGGCACCTACCTGCATGAACCTTGTTATCATTATTTTTGTTAGCATTATAATCATCGTTATTACTCACATTCGGAACATTTAACACTTTATTCTTACTATTGTCATAATTTCATCCACAAGCTCACCTTCATTGGCTAGATTTTTTTTACATATAAAGCCGTGTAAATTAGAGTAAAGCCTGAAGAAGATCTAATTGAAAACAACAATATTGTTTGCTTATATATATATCTGGTTCATTACAAGTGGTTCACACTACTTATTACTATTAAGTAAGAAGATTAGTGATTATAAAAATATATGTCGTTCTGCAGGAATATTTGTGATAAAATTTAATTTGATGTTAGTTATTGTGATTTGCAGTACTGTCGCGCAATGTCAAGTACGCTGAAACGGAGCTGAATTTGTATCCTGAAGGTATTAATTGTTTGTTGAATTTTGGTTATCTTGTAAGTGGAGTGACAGGTTTTGTTTGTGGAACGCTACAGTTTTCGTATATTTGGAATGGTGTAGATGAAGATTTAAGTCATTTATTGTGTTACTTTTTTATTGTCATTATTAGTGTTACTGATTAGTAGTAAGTAGTATAAGCTCCCTGTCCTTTTATTACCAGCAGGAATTATTTTTCACGCTAATTAAGTGAGTTAATTCCTTTTGAGTGATCATGCATTATGTCAGTTTCCTTCGATGAAGTTTTGTTGTATTACAGAGAAATCACTCATCGGAAAAATGAATGAAAATAGTGGAAAGTTTTTTCTTGAACGGAAGTTTGTATATAAATAATACGATGGGTCTAAATTGAAATAATCTATATGATCTGCATATTCTTGAGGTGTATGTGTCTATCCTATGTGCTTACTTATAAACTAATTTCTCCGAGGTTTTCGTTTCTACTGTATCTTACCTCATATCTCTAATTCCTGAATAAATTCTTTTGTCGTTCTAGCCTCATGTACTACTGATGAAAGGTTGAATACTACTCGCATTGGTCAACAGTGCTTGATAACCAGATCGATGAGATCTAAACACCAAACGGGTTTAAAAGCCCGTTTACAGCCGGGCTGGAGGGAATATTGATGATTAAATTTCATATAGGTAACACAACTAAACGTATGAATGATTAACAACAGGTAACATATAACCCAGTGCAACATTTAGATAGTTTTGCACGTAGCGAGTTTCGAGTGGAATGTAGAACTTGGATCTCTAGACTTTGGAGGCTGTTTCGTGCTGGTGTCGTTTTTAATCTAATGAGGTTGCTAGCTAGATTGATGCCCATGCCAACATTCCCTCTTTTCTGGTTTTCCTAGTCATGAGGCGCGGTTCAGGACTGCTTTCAACGGAGAGTAGATTCGACACATTGCACATAAATGCATCTTCACATTGTGGAATTTGGCCTTATTTAATTCGATTCGAACCGTCAGTATTGTCATAACCTGGAAATCAGGAACATGAACTTAATTGTAGCTACGGAGTAGCCTAACCAGAAAGCTTAGATTGAATACGAAAAGAATTAATTTTGTCAAATTACTCGTAGGTGAAAAGATTGAAAAGAGGCCTTGCTCAGTTGCGGTCGGTCAGTTTTCGACATAGAACTTTGCACATATGTGAGGCAGTTCAAGTCGCCACACTCCATGTAGCACACAAAGAAAGAGAAGAAAGTAGGAGAAATGCATAATATAAACAGTAAACAGAGGTGTGAGACAAAGGAATAGTAATAACGAAGAATAAAACAGTTTCATTGGAAATCATAAGTCACAAGGATTGGATGCATCTGCTCTAGCCATTGAGAACTTTTTTGAGCCATGTCACCGATTGTCTCCAGCCATTGGTTTTTACCGTCCCGACGACTCCAACCAGTCTGGAAGTCTACACCTTCCTACGTGGCTTAGACTAACTGTTGTAGATTTCATTGACTGGTGCCATGTTTTCGTTCAGTTTTCGTACAGTGGTAGAATGCTCGCTAACCACGCATGTGGTTCGGGGTTCGAACCCCTACCGACGTACTTCTTTACCTCACTAAGCCAGTAGTAAGACTGGTAAAGAGGGAAGGTTGGGCATGAGGCTAAAATAAAACCACTGCTAGTGAAACTTCGAAGCTCTAGCTTGAAGCCCTTGTTCCACTGAGAACGTAAAGGAATGAAAAAAAAGACATAAATGAAGAGATGAGTCAGACGAATAAAACATTGACCTTACCAAGGGTTTTATCTCTTCCTAGAGCTACAGTTAAATGCTCCACGTTTAGAAATTTTTTGTAAGCAGCAATCACTGCTCTCATGTGAACTGGAAACTGTAGTGTAACCAATCGTCCACATCCTTCCCCATCTGTCTATCAGAAAGCGATTATTTTTCATAAGGTGCATATATACCTTTTGAATTGTGTGTATACTGACCAGTGGAATCTTAAGCTCCTCCATGACATCCATTGTACGTTTTAGTTCGGACTCCGGACAAGTAACAACAGCTGATGTAACACCAACATCACTAAAGTAAGAAAAAAAAGCATAATATAATGCTAACATAACTTACCTTTGTATATTGGTTGTGCACACATTTACTCCTGTAGATAAAACAAATTCTGTGAAATTTTCACCCATCACTACAGTCAACTGAGACAAAGTTTGACTGACTGCAGATGATCGAGATAGATTTGCTTTACTCTTCACAGCTACAATATAACATCAAGTAAACTGGAGGGGAAAAAAAGGCCATTTACCCAATGGTTCCAAAAGCCAATCATTAATTCCTCCAACTTTTGCATCAAGACCAGTGTGTGGTGAGAAAACAGCGATCCGATTTTCTAAACAACGTACAACTATACGCTGTTTCCAATGTTGTTGTGTAAGTCTCTTGAGAGGTGAAAATATAGGCGGATGATATGATACGATAAGACCAGTTTTTTCAGCGATAGCTTCATCAATTACTTGTTCTGTTAAATCATTGGTAAGTAAAATCTTGTTGACATAATGTGGAGGAGATGGCTCTACTAAGAGGCCAACATTATCCCATTTCTCAGCTAAATGAGGCAAACAATACATATCCAGTAGTTGAATAACTTTTGATAGTTCCATTCCTCTGTTTGCCAATTTTGAAATAAACATAGTTTAAATAAAATCGCGAAGTTTACGTGATGATTAGCTAATTAATGACAGTAAGTTAAATAATTTTGACTTCAAAATCACAAGAGAAAAAAAAATACAGAAACTAAAGAGAATTACAAGCACAAAACTTGGAAGTAGGAGTATGCAGAACGTAACTTTTGGTCATTTGATGTATTCTACGTTTGTGAAGTAATCGCACAAGGCAGCATATTTAGCCTGGAAGCAAATTAATGTAATATAATTACAATGGTATACACTACCAGTAAAATTCATATATTTCATTTAAACTGTATTCACAGCACAGAAAAAAAAGGATAAAAGCGGAAAAAACAGCGCAAATTAGTAACGAGTGAGCTGTGGATGAGATGTCACCCAGTTTCCCCAACTATCCCACGCTTCCAATGAAACAGTTTCTCTGGTCTTTTCCCCTTATCTTCAATTTGAAGTACTTAATTCAGTGAGAATTTTATCAAGTATACTTGTTATGGTAGCACTGACATGAATAACCCCGTCGCCAAAATACGCTATGACAGAGTGTAACTGAGTTGTGGTTATCGTCTCAACTTGACTAGAATGCCTCACCAGAACAAGACATAATAACCAACTGATCACTTGAAGATAACGCTTACATTGAGATGGACATAAAAGTCCGATTCAATCGCGACAAAAACGAAATTTATTGGACAAAATACATCGTACTTTGCATTTACAAAATCTCAAGAATTTAAGCCAAAAGTAGACAAATCGAAAAATGTCTAATCAGGTTATTATCTAACTGTATGAGTATATCATGACTTCACGGCTAACCAAGAAGCTTGTCCTGTCTAAAAGTACTATAACAATGTGAGATAACATTTTCAGTGGATAAAAATGTCTACTTGTAATAGATATATATGGTGAGACCGAGTTCATGCTTGTACCTAACCTTTAGATCTACTTCATTTAACACTTCTAAAACGTGAAAGATGGCCTACCTATTCAAGTGATAAGATTTATTGCGGTCAACTTTCGAAGTTGCTTGCCAATTACTTCTTAGGAGTATACTGGCCCTTTTCAGATGAACACAGCAACCTCTACAGGAAGTCTCTCATATAATGTACCAACAGTTTGCAGATAACCAAATCCTTGCAGAGTTCATGAGGTGTGCTATGAGTACTTCAAATGCCAACAATCCCCAACCAAAGTAATGACCGAATGTGTCCCTTATAACTGCTTCACTTGACACTTCAACTTCATGCAACACAACCGAACTGTTGAAAAGATTAGCAATGCATTCCCGTTTTGGAGTAGAACGGTCAGTCAAGGCAGACATTGAAGGTTGGAGTCGCTCATGACTTTAGTCTTAACAGATCCATTATAGCTAGCCAGTGAGATCTTCAGGTGGAAAAGTCCCCAATGTCTTGACAATTTTCAATGAAAATGACGCATTCAATACTTTTTTTCAGTGAGACGAGTTATAGTCGCTAAGTTCCGCATGAATCTTAAGCCAACAGTTACTGACAGTTTACGCAATGGGAAATATTAGCGGCTGCTCTACCCCGAGCAGGCAAGGACGATGTTTAGAACAATGATACACATGGTAAGCAGCTGATCCACGAGGTACTGGGTAGCATACGCAACCAATAAGAAAGTTGTGACAGGATTAGAAAGTCTAATAGTTCCTATTCCCTGTTCAGGAATGCCTCGTACGCGTCTCACTTGCTGACTTATGGAATGATTTCCTGGACAACAAGGACCGATTCCAAATGATAAGAGAGTTTCACCGAATCCTGAAAAATATGTCTTCAACTGTTCAAATCTTCTTCTCACTCTCATCCAATTCTAAGTCCTATCACTTGGTTTGAAATTCTGCAATGCACCCAGCCGAATCAACGAATTACAAACCAAAGTCCAGTTCTACAGTCTAACTCCCCGACACTTGATTTGTAACCCAGTTCTGAAAACGATTTCGAATAGATCATGGCTTCAGTCGTCGATAGCTGCTACAAGTGCATGCGTGCACGACCGAGTCATCATTATCAATTAAAGAAGGAAAACAGAAAATAACTCCAACAACTTCAAGAGAGTAAAGACATAATCCTTGTCCATCCAGATGAGGGTAATGGGATTGTAGTAATGAACAGATGATATTACGTCGAAAAATTAACAAACGTACTAACAGAAAACACCAAATTCTTCAAATCGCTCAACCAGAAAGACAATAGAATGTCTACTTACAAAACTACTGAAGAAAATGGAAGAAGACATCTGAGGTGTAGGAAGAAATGAAAGCACGCAGTCTAATTATTCCAAGACTGTATTACGGATGGTCTATGGTGCATAAGAAAGATGTCCCACTTCTACCTATGATAGACATGGTCAACCCATTACACTGTCAGACCACGAAGTGGCTAGTAGGTGTCCTCGAACCAGTAGAGACATACGACAGGGTATAGTCTTAAAGACACATTGAATTTCATCGATTCATTGAAAGAGGTCAGTTTTCGAGAAATAACGTCTTCGATAGATGTCACGTCTCTGTTTACAAGCATCCCTTCAACTGAAACAATATGCTTTATCTGCAACAACATCGAAAACTAAAACCCCGAAGTTCCTCTTCCCATCAACTACCTGACGAAATTACTTTTCAGGTGTATGTTTAGTATTCAATTTAGATTCGACGAAGAATTCTACGTGCAGAGAGATGGTATGGGTATGTAGTCTTTTCTCGGTCCACTCTTAGCCGACTTTCACGGTGAGTCTTGAGAACAACATCATTGATTCTTTGATCAGTCAATTGAACCTTTAGGACAGATGCGTAGATGGTACTAATGCAATTTATGATGAAAAACTTGATATAAACAATCTCAACGCAGTACACCCGTCAATAAGATTAGCTCTAGAACGTGAATCAAACACGCCGTTTCTACTGCTGCATGTACTATTTACTAGAAGACAAGAAAACTCGATCTAAACATCAATATAGCGCAAACCAACATAAAACGGGAACAGCTTATTAACTTCGTCCAACTGATCCGAAAGCAAAACTACGTATGAAATTGTTCTCAAGAAATAGAAAAATATGTTCAGAAGATACGATAGGAAATGAATTAAAACCATTACATGAAAGCCTTTCTGGAGAACGGGTGTCCACCCAGGTTTGTCAGCAAAAACGTGAAGGAAAAACCCCGTGCCCGAAAGTTCCGAAGAAAACTCTATGTGAACCTAGAATCCTACGGTGACATTGAAACAGAAATTATAAGAAGCCGCCTTTCTAAAAGTCTGAGGAAGACACTTCAAGCAGCCACCTTACATATCACACCCTTCAGCAAAGTTAATCCAGTCAACAGTTAGGATAAGACACGCTTTTGGCCACCTCAATGCGTATTTGTCGGCCTACTTATTCATTTGGAGCCTAGTACACCGGCTGTACACAAGTCCGTGAACGCATTCTGAGACACTGTACAGCCTAGTTAGCCGGTGGAGAAACGATGAATACCAACAGTTCTATCGTCGAACACGACAACTCTAAATATCGAATATCTCTACATGACTGCCTCACAGTGCTACACAGGGTCTCGCAATATCTAACGAAAGGACTTCCAGTACGTCATTTATGCATAGGCGAATCATTGGTAATTCGGAACCCGAAGCTGCGTCTTTGCATTCAAAGTCAGTGAATACATTCATTCGTCTTACCTTAACGAATGTACCGCTCTTACAATACTTGCGGTTGACGTTATCGTGAGTTTAGCATTGTGGCTGTCATACAGGTATACTGGCTATTCATTATTCACACTTTTTCGCAGGATTTTAATTTCGCGCACCCATTTCTTATTCTTCACTTCTGGATTAAAGGTCACATTATATAATGCATTCTATGAACAAATTTGAAAGTGTCTCATTCATCTAATGAATTACATGTTAAATATGTATACGATTCCAAGGACCTTGAGAACTGTTTGTCGAAGATACTATCTTCATTGTTTACATCTTATTTTTGCTATAAATATGCTGTTCTATGCAATTTTATTTGGTAGTGGAGAACGAAAGAACTTCCAGATATTTCAAATGTAAGGGCTTGGATGAGTTACAGTTGACTTTGGGTAGTTATAACACGCAGCACAGAACGAGCATCCCTTTTATTTTATAGTTTTTACTCATATGGACTCTTATACGAGCAAATGTGTGCGTGACGTATCGCTTAATTTATCTGATAATAGTGCTTCCCGTATATTCTGCTTCATGGGAAGTTTGAGGCTTACTACATTATCCGTTTTTCATAAGTAGAAAAAGTATTTACTGACCGGTCAGACATTGTACACCATCAGATATACAAAACGTGAAAACGGGACCTAACCTTGACATTCAGAATTCCCTCGGACTGAAATTAAACATCACGTGCAAGGTCATTGATGGAGTGAGACCTTCAAAGGTCATTTTCGTCCATGTTATTCGGCCATGTTGGATTGCAGTTCCGTAGCTGTTCGTTTACACATTGGTTTTTCCGTTTATCCAGCAGTTATTCACAACTCATCTTGATGCACATTGTTTACAAATGTTGCGCTTCACTTCATTATTGTTTCTGTTTCTGTTAAAATTAGTTATTTCGTTTGTTTCGAAAGTTTTTAACAGCAGGTCAGTGAATTCATTTCATTGTAATTATTTCATACGTTGCATTCATGCATGATTTCAGGGTTTTAGTTGTTTTTGCACTATTAATGAATTAGTACTGTGTAGAAGTTTTGGAAATTATGCACATGAACTTGTTTGGTTGGCGGAAGCAGTTGTTTCCAGTTCATTCGTTGGTTGCCGTTATTGTTGCTGGCTCAGTTGCTTACTTAACATGCAGAAATCTAGAAAAAATAATGTCTGTCACATTCATGTTTACAGCGTGCAACAATCTAAGAGTGAATCTGGTGAAGAGAGCACGATCAGGGTTGATATTAGCAAGTTTTTCGAAGAGCATATTAAACCTTGAGAATTTCTCATCTAGCATTATTTTCGAGCGCACTGCAGGTTTTTAGGGCAAATACTTCGGGCGCATCTACTTACGTGGGTAAGTGCCCCTAAGCCTGCCCCAAAATATCTGCAATGCATCCGAAATCGTTGCTAGCTGGGTTAGAACTTGGTTTGAAGTTAAGAAAGCTTTGAAACTTTTCGAGAAGATGAATGTACCATCAGTGTGTCTGTAATCAGTTTAAAAATATCAGATATATATTGTGAGAGAATCTAAATCAAACAAGTTTGAGCCGCATGAGAAGTATGAATCTGTTGTACTTGTGTGTATTTTTAGGAACTAAAAGAAACTGGAACCCCTTAAGGGTAAGTGTTATGCATGCTTATTAATGCTTAATGTACTAGATCCAAATACATGAACCAGGACTGCCTTTAGTAGAGCCAGCCTTAACAGCCACTCGATATGTTGCAAAACGATTTACAAAATGAATAAAATACGATGATGTGGTAAGTGTACGAACGATCTCAGTTAAAGGTAAGACTTTAGTTAGCAAAAATAACGTTTTGGATTGTGGCCTACGATTGCTGCTTTTCTCGATGTTGTGATTTCTCCGTGACTATAAACACGGATTTACATGATTTTTTAAATAAAACTTTAAATAAATTTTCCTTGAACCAGTGGTCTTCTTTTTCTTGGCGAAATTTCTGTTGATACGATTAGACGATTAGGTAGCAAAGTAGGATGTTCTGTGACTGAGAATCGTAGTCATAGTGTTTCGGACTAATTTCGCACATCTGACTGTTGTAACACTATGGATATAGCTTTTTCCTCATGGTGCATTATGATACCTAGAAATCATCAGCATACTGTCTTCGGTAAATGTATTTTTACTTTCTAAGTGACTGCAAATAGTGAGTCATTTGAGGTGATAGGATGAACACCTCTAAACGCTTTTGAGGAGGCTAGGGTATATTCACTTTATTCGAGTAGGAGACGATTTTTTACCAAGAAATTTCTCAGAATTTCCACTTTTACCTTGTTATTCAAAAATAACGTTAAGTTGCTCACTAAGGCAGTAGCTATAGGAGGTTACCTTCAGCGGAAACTAAATTAAGGTAGCTTTACGTAATGCGTCATAGAAGTAAGCGGCGTAGGTTAATTGGGTTTATTAACTGAATATTTTAAACGTTTTATAACTGGTCAAATCGTAGTTCTTACATACGAGTTAGTTTTATAAATAATGAATGTACCGTACAAGTGTTCGCCTAGAGTAGCATACCTAGATCATAAACATTATGCCTTCATGTAGTATACATTAAGGGCTAATACGCTGTTTGATGAATTAGTCCGAGATACTTAAAGTCAGACTTGATTTCTATATCACTGTCATCAATTTTGCAACGGCCATAGGAATTAACAGCTTCGCCTCACTTTCTCTTACATCGGAAACTGAAATTAACAGTCTGACATTTCGAAGGATTTAGTTTAAGAGCATTTTCTGACTCCTGATGGAGAGCTGTTCATCTTTGTACAGTGTAGCTGCGGATTAAAAGACACTGGAATAGTTAGTCCGCGCACTTGACATATTCCATTTCGTATGCTTATGTACATTAAGTTCGTCAAAAAAAATACAATCGGCAGTGGACAACTATAATGGAGAAATGTTGTGATGTAAGACTGCAGCTGCATCTAAAGTACTTCTACTGTGTTTATAGGCGAATTATTTGAAATCGTTAAAGGCTTTAAGTGAAGGTTGAAGATTAAGTAAGAGCAACTTTTCCATAGCTTTTAGAAAAGGGGAGGTAATAGCAATATGTCTAAATTTAAAACATGTCCCATTAGACGACTTAGGTATAGGTACAATTTTAATGTCCTTCCAAACGGCTGGCACAACATTTCTGGAAAAAGATTCATTAAATATGTGAGAGGATAACACAGGATATCTGCACATTTTTAAGAATAAGGCTAGGCAAACAATCTGGAACTAGGCTACAAGAAGGGTTCAACGACTGGAGATATATTAGAACGTCATTTGTATTGAAACCAAGGAAACAACTCTTATTAACGCTTGTGACACCAGAAACCTTGGCATTTGTGGGAGAATGTATGAAAGACTTGTTTAGTGTACACACCAAATGAATAGGGAATACTGTTGTAATACTGGAGGTAATTAGGTGCATAAAGGCGTAAGTTATTTAATATCCATAAAGTAGATATACAAATACTGCAGTTGTTGATCATCGAAATGGTGGATATTAGATTGCATCACATGATTCAATGGCATATTAGAAATAGATGAAAATTGCTTTTTTGCTCACTGTCAAGTGAACAGTCTATTTGATGATGTCACTGTATACAAAAGAAAATCCCGATGAATGGTATTGGCGTTAGTTTGGCCGAATGATATTTCCGCTGATTTCATATTTGCCAACCTCCGTATACCTGAAAAAAATTAGGCACATGTAAGTACTAGCACAACATGAAGTTATAGAAGATAATTCTGCATATAAGCATACACTGTGAATACACTGATTCTGTTATTACTAAGTAATATCTCAGGCAAATAAATGCATTTGTAGTCTGCAGCTGGTTTGTATATTGACACCGTATGCATCAATAGATCAATTGTGTTTTCCAGCATTAAAGGATTATACGCAAATTTCATGACAATATCTGAAGCATCCATATTATTGAGACGTTTTTCTCTTATTAAGTAGCCTTGCAGATCAACTTCACACTAACTACGCTTACAATAAATGAAGTATTGCAAAGGTGTAACCTAGAAATTGATCCACGATCTCAGTAATGTCTAATAAGCATAGTTTTATGAATCCTACAGAAATTACATTCTCACATTAAGGAATCAGCTGCCATCAAATATAAGCTGAACATGCTTCGACTCTAAACAGCTATGCACAGTGTTAGCAGCATAGGGAAACACTTGAAATATTGTAAGATACGCAGACCTGTTGCGTTTATGAGGATAACAATGACATATAATGCAACCTAAACTTTCAGTCGTGATGCGGCATCTGTACTGCTTCATGTTAATGGAAAATTCAGGAAAAATTCATCACCACTATTGGTGATCACAAACATTGCAGCATTAAGTTTACAGTGCTAGTGAGAATGGCATAACAGACAGTAGATTGATAGTAATAAAGCTGACTAGATTCAGTTCTCATAATCGACACAATCCATGTGTATAATAATACTATACACTGAATTAATGCACTAAGCGACACAGTAAGGAAATTTAAACGAGTAATTGCCTTCCCCACTGCACTGCACTTGCAATAATCATGACAACCCCTACGTTTGCTACCCAAGCAGTCGGCTGAGCAGACAATGGCACAATATTAATAAAGTTGAGATATTTTTTATACATTGAGTCTACATAACTTATATACCGAACACCAAACAGTGCAAATATACGTGAAATCCACTTAGAAATAACCTCTCAACTTACGATAATTCCTGTCCAGACACACATAATAATAATAATTTTATTTCTGGAACAGAAACCAGCCATTTTTACAGGCATGAACAAATGTACACTAATTAGAACTTGTAGAATATATATGATTTGTTAATCTAGAAATAGATTGAATACTGGTAAATTTGAGAGAAATATTTAAAAAGAAATGTACAAATAAGGCAATAGGTAATTTTCGAGATATGCTTTCAACTGAATAATTCATGAGATATAGCATCAAATCAAGACTGTAATTGAAAAAAATACGGTATGTCAATTTCACGCGGGAATTATAAACGATTACGTTAACTGTGGAAGGTAAGTAGCATTTTTGTACAGGTGCTGACGTGAAATATAAGAGATGCGGAATGAACAGTAATTGTAAGTAAATGATTCTTAGTGTTTGGAAGTCCATAAAACTTCAAATTCACTGGTAAGTACACCATAATTGTGACATTTCCAGTTGTATATGAGACCAACTTTGAACTTGTCAGCAGATTTCATGATAGAGGAGGTTCCGTTATTCACTAGGTGAGCTAGCAATATTCTGAATAAGCAGAGGATAGCAGCACTGTATCAGTGCCTTCGTTTAAGGTAGTACCTTTGAAAAGAGAAGAAGACACAAGAAAACCGCCAGAGAGGTGCAGAAGTATATAATAGGTGTTAATAATTCAAAACATGTATAAAAAACATGGGGTTCATCATTTTTTGGTGTTTTTTTCATTTAAAAAATACTATTTCCCCCTGAGATTTTCTAGTGATGGAATTCTAGTCGGTGCGACGCATCTACATGATTACTTCTGTTCCCACAGAAGGTTCTGTTAGCATTTACAGGTGATTTCCAAGTACTGATAGAATTCTTTTGTCAAAAAGGACTGTTCTTCCCAGGAAAATAGGCTGAATTAATATCCTGAGACGTAAGTCTCCATTGAATGATACCATGCCGAA